ACATCTAACCTAATCAAACTTGCTGTAACATTTCAAAATACGGTTTGATAGTAGAATTCTGAAATTTAGGCTAACTGTTCTTAACTAACCTAACCTAACCAAACTGTATGTGTAGCATTTCAAAAATTGGCCCTTTTGATAACAGAAATGGCTTTCGCGCTCAATTGACTGTTCTAGAACGTTAAATCCTTAACTTATTATGCGCGTCTTTTGCTTCAAAATAGACCAATTTTAAAGAAACCTCCATCTTCGCAGAAATTTAATGTAAGTGAGTAGGTAAGTAATTCATAATGGGGTCTAGAGTAACTGTTTTTTTTTCATTATTTTGCAATACTGGAACGGGAAGGGGTTGTGACGTAATTTTGACATGTGAATAGTCACTTTGTAATGTTTTAAGCCAAGTCTTTTGCCACGGCCACCTTTAACTTGTCTAGCGCCAAACATCGCAAAAGATAACATGGCAAACAGGTGACACCAGCTCATTAATTTGCATACTATCCATTTAAATTTAGATTTAAGAACATAAATGTATTCAAAGAATAGAAAACATAGAGAATTGAAGACCAAAACAAGATTTAAAAATCAAAAATATATTTTTGTACATTTAAAAGGGGAGTCCATATTTTCATAGCCCAATACCGGTAAGCAAGTTTTCATGTTATTAACAAATACACAAATACTATTAGCTGCCTCACAAAACAAAACAGCTGTTACAAGCCTACTTGCGATGTTGCCACTTCTAAGGCCGCGGCCTTTTTGCTGTGCTGCAAATTGCTGCAAACTTGCTTTGTGGTATCTTGGAAATGATCGAGCTCCCGTTCGTGTCGCTCTCGCTTAAGTCGCTGCATGTGTCCGACATCAGTCGCTCACACTCTCGACGCTACAGCCCGCCTGCTCCGCTCTGAATTGCTGTATGTGTTTTTTTACCCTAAGACATATTAGGTATAGAAGCACAATTAATTGGACATAAGTTATCTAGATCCTAACATTTATAGGTACGGTACTACAATTCAAAATGGCCTTGATTTACGCAATATCGTAGCCTTAAATGGTATCTTCATTACGCAATTGGCTATTATTAAAAATTGAAAATAGGGCACACTGCATTGGAGTTGCTTATTTGGATAAACCCAAGCAAAAAATTGCCAACTACGACTTGGCTTGTTTTCTAACTCTGTCGACTATTAGGCCCCTACAGGCCTAGGCCTAACTAAGTAAAATTAGGATGAAACATGTATTCATGGTGATACTCCAAAGTCAATTAAAAACCAAGAAGTACATGCCTAGGAGTAAAGTTTGGCAGAGAACCTGTGATGTATTAATATCATTTTAAATATAAATAAATTGAGGCCTGTATCGATTTTGATTCGGTTCGATACATAAGAAGCTATCGTTTCCACGATATAATTTTGTTATTTGAATGTGTGTCGAATTGAGCTAAATTATTGATTTTCAGTATATGAAATTATCAATACAATGCAAGTATTGATAAAAATGCAAGCATTTTTGAAAAGGTAATTTGAAGGGTTTTTCTCAAGATTTTAATTTTACAAAAACAGTATGCAGGCGACATAAACTAACAACTCGATACATTATAACCTAAACTTTACCTTCCTAATCTAACCTAACTTCAAAACACTTAATGCAGTCACCAATTCGCATAAAGCACGACCTACCACCCTGACATGCCTAAATGAGAACTGTAATTTTACAGTTGCTTGTCGTGTGGTTGAAAACAGTCAGCTGTAGGCTTAGTTAACCCACAGTTCATTCCACTTGTAAATGTTATCCATCCTACCTTGTTTATTGTAATGTTGTATATTTCTACGGCTATATCTTGAGAAATATTCATCAGCGGTGAAAAATAATAGAATATTTGGATTCAGGAGGTAAAAAAATATAAAGTAAGATATCAAAATTAAAAATTTGTTTGAAGGCACCTATACGGAATAAATACGTATCGTTTGGTTACTTAGGTAGGTAAGGTTAACCTAACCTAACTAACCAAACAATATATCGAGTTAAACAATCGAATAATCAATATTACTCATTCGGTTATTTGTGCCAACAGATATGGAAGTTTACCCACACAGGCTGCTATTCTTGTCCTAAGTACAGTAATTTAATTAGCCTACTGTTTTCTAGAAGCGGAGCGACACACATTGTTATTCGCTTTTCCGCAATCCGGGCCGAGAAAAACCTAGCTTAAGTTAAGGCCCAGAGATATAGGCTACCTACCTATCTAAGTTAAAGGCAAGAAGAAATTGATCAATATAAGGCCTAGGTCCTTAAGCTTAAGTTAATTGGGACTGTAGAATAGGCCAAGGTAGGCCTAGGCTATTAGGCCTAGCCTACCTTTGATTGTACGCTACCCGAACACAAACGTTGTCAGTTTTGATAGGGTACACTCTTGTCAGTTTAAAATGGGCCAACACTTGAAAGATCATATCTCAACAATCACAATTAATTTTTAAACAACACAGTATATTATTCCTTCCTTGCCAATGGCCATGAATCCCTCAGATTTTCTTGGTTAATGCATCGAGCCTCTTTAACCTGGATCTAGTCTTTTAGTTGCGATTGACGACTGTAGTATCACAAACTACACTTCAAAGTGTAACCATAACACCCTAACTACTACAATTAATTACTTTATTACTATTTAACTAACGGTGTTAACATCAACATAAAACTCAGCTCAGCAGACAGCACCCAACAACACGAACACACAATCACGAATCACAACACAACAATACAATCCAATCGACGACGACGACAGACGACGATAAACAAATTTTGAAAAAAGTGACTCTTTATAAAAAAAAATAGTAATAATTAGGCTGATATTATTCAAGCCTACTGAACAAACAACCATAACAACATGTAACTACCTAAATAATTTTATCGAATGTAAGTTAATAAATTTCGGTGGATATTTTTAAATCCGATATTTATTTCCACAGATAAATATTCTTTTAAATAGTTATAAGTTAGTGTAAAGCGTTCTTATGCGTAAAACTGTTTACTCCATGGATGAAAGAAATAATAGACAATTTGGTCTCTTTGTCTTTAAAGCAAGAAGCAAAATAACAAAATTGTTGCTCGTAAAATGTAAACAAAAAAAAGAAGAAGAAGGTAGCTCCTAATGTTATTCTTATGGGGGAAAATTAAAATGGTTTTTTTAGGATTAAATAGTAATTACTGAACAAATATGCTCCAAAAACGATCCCCGGCATGATATTATACTATAGAATCTTTGTGCAAAACATCAAGTTGATAGATGTAATCGTTCTCGAGTTTTTGTAATCCATAGAGATGCTTTTCGTACCAGTATGAGAATTCACTTCGTTCATTCAATTAAAGCTAGTTCCTTATCTCTATTACCATAATACTCCAATTTCCTGCAAAGAATAACATGTGAAACCATATCAAAAGCTTTACTTAGGTCTAACATACTACAGCCTGTGGCAAAATTGTTTTCAAAACCATTGAGGATATAATCTACAATGCTCTCTACAGCCTTGGTAGTTGAAGAATTAGGCATGAAACCAAATTGGTTAGTACTAAGCAAATTGTTACTTGTAAAATAATCATACATTTGCCTAAATAAACAAGTTTCGATTATCTTACTTATAATGGGGACAATAGCAATTGATCTGTAGTTCTCTGGTAAATCTCTGCTACCTTTCTTAAAAATAGGGCTAATTATTGATTGCTTCAAGCAATTTGGGAAAACACCTGTAACTAAAACTAGGTTGACAATGTAGGTGAGATGTACTAGAATAGGGTCTATAATATTCTTCAAAAGGTAGTTCGACAGTCCAAAACAATCTTCGCTGCGAGAGGAGCTTAGTTTAGTTACTATTGATTTCACAGTTTTCATATCAACTTTTTTTAATGAGAATTTATTTGAGCTGGTGGTAAACTTTAAATTACTAAGTAGTTTATAATAGTCTGGTAAATTTGAGTTCTGATTGTGAGTCATACTTGTTGGTACATTAACAAAAAAATCATTAAAGGTGTCAGGCGAAATACATATTTCAGTCGGTACTTTGCTCTGCCCTGATTCACTTCTCACTATCTTCCAGGCCGCTTTGCATTTGTTTGTTGATTTATTAATTAGTTTGTTGTTTGCAGAAATTCTTGCCTCATTCATAGCTTTTGTGTAAACTTTCTTGGCATTTTTAAAGTTCATTTTGTCATTAACATTACCATTAGTCTTCCATACGTCATAAAGGTAAATGATATATTCTCTCATGTTTGCAAGTTCAGGTGTAAACCAGTTACTAGGTCCTGGCTTGGTTTTTGGTCTACATTTATTATTTACGATTGGACAATAAACATTGAGATAATAACAAAGTATATTTATAAACATAGAGATCACAGCATCAATATCACAGTTGTTATATAATACTAACCAGCTAAGATTTGAAAGACAATAATTAAAATCAGCTAGCCTATCAGTAGTAATCAGTCTCCTCTTAAATGATTTAGTTTTTACACCAGCCTGGCTTTTATTATCATCCAGCTTAACATTAACAAAAATACCTGCATGATCAGAGATGAGGTCTTGTCCGTAGAGCCAACATTCATAGTGGTCAGAAACGAGGTTGGTGAATATATTGTCGAGACAGGCTCTTCCTCGGGTTGGGTAGGAGTGCACATTGTCGCAAAAATCGATTTTGATCCTGAAGAAGTCTTCACTTGACAATTTTATGATGGGTTAGCCTCTGGATCAAGATAATGCAAATATAAAAAAGGTTTAATTTTCATGTGTCAATTGATCCTTAAGTTATGAAATAACTACGTCCGTTTCGTGCTGCTAAGCGAGCACTTCCTCAGGTTGCATGAACGTTAAAATACGGTCTTCTCATCCGTGAATGGAGTTGTCAACAGGTAAATTAAACCTTTTTTATATCTTCACTTTCAAACTTATAGCCTTCAACTGTTGTAGTAATCTAAAATGTATAACTTATTCATAGTTTTTTTCTCCATTACAGGTATATTTATTGTAGCAGCCAAAAGAACTCCTTTTGGTACTTATGGAGGAAAATTTGTCAAGACAAGTGCTTTGGAACTACAAGAAGTTGCATCAAAGGCAGCGCTTACCTCTGGCAACATAAACCCTGAAATAGTCGACTCTGTAGTCATCGGAAATGTTTTAGGGGTAGTTATCAGTAATTTTACCTTCAAATTTGTTATTTGGTCCATAAAGTTCATATATAACAAAGCTAGGCCCGAATTTAACTAACCTTTTTTTACCAAACTTAACCAAACTGTTCTTAAAAATTACACTCAAGTAAATTGTAAATATTTAGAAATCTAAATAATAAATTAAGTAGGTTTTTAGGATTAATAGCCTAACTCTTAAGCTGGGTTCACTCTGAACAAACTTTAAACAAACAAAACAAAACAAAAGTACATATTCTGTCAGTCCAGTTAGAGCCGAGCTAGTATAATTAACGAACATGTACAAATTGTGATGTACAAAAGTGTAAGTGAGTTTGTAATGAGTTTGTGATGTACCATCGTTGTCGGCTGGCTTGTTTAGCGGCAGCGTTCATGGTACTAAAGGAACCTCGTCCTAGAAGATTCGGCTTTACAAAGAAGAAACAGAGTTCTGGAAAAATAAAAATATTGGCATAAATAAGTTAGGTACAAATCAAATTAAATACCTAGGTTACAGTTCCGGCACCTCATTTTTTACAAATAGAGCACTGACAATAAGGGTAAGTGACTGCTTGGCTATATGACTTTACAGTGTTTTTTGGCTACAGGAGACTAAGATGATTCCTTGATGTAGGCCTACTTATTCAAAAGATATTTTCTTTACAATACATTGATGTACATCTCATCTACATGAACTAGATTTGGGAAGCGAGCTGGACTAGTGGTAAATCATGGGGCTTTGAATCCCGGGTTCAAATCCCGCCAATCACAAATGGATTTTAGATTTTATCTAATGCCGCAACCCTCTTAAACTAGAATGTGGAGCTGGTACATAAAAAAATTATAAAAAAATAAGGACACGATTTAGCCATTGTTTGGTTAAGTTAATAAAAAACATATTTGAGTGACCTACTCATAGAGTATGCTACACTAGAAACACTGTTTTCTCCGTTAATTTTTGGTGGATTAATATATTATAAAAGCTTATATAATTTTACAATAAAGCTGTCTTAGTTTGGTTTGGATAAAACATTAAGATATTCAACGTAAATCAGTAATTTACATCAGCACTCTTTTGATGGCTCAATTCAAGTTCATTTTCATTCTTTCAACCTTTTCAGAACACCTCTCCGGACTCCATTTTTCTTCCTCGCCACGTGTTGCTGAGATGTGGAATCGCCATAGACAAGCCTGCACTTGGTGTGAACCGACTTTGCGGTTCAGGCTTCCAAGCTGTAGTCAATGGAGCTCAGGTAAAGAACTGATAGGCCTAATCCATTTATTATTCACAACAGTCTTTTACATATTTTACATTTTGTAACAGATAGCCTAATAAGATAAGGATGAAGCTGTAAAATTACTTTTTCTTATGAAAGAAATACTAGGCTACGATATGCTAGACACTTGCTAGTACGGCAAATCGGGACTTTAGCCTACCAGATTACCAATGCCAGATAACCGAGTACTGGTACCTTAACGATAGCTGATATTGTAAACTCTGTTAATTTTGTATTATCATACCAAGCATAAAATATTTGACGTTTAAAAATGTGTTTCAGAATATTCTAGTGGGAGACTCCCATGTAGTTTTGACAGGAGGAGTAGACAACATGAGTCAAGCCCCTCACGCTGTGCGAAACATAAGGTAAGGTCTAGTAAATAAATATACCCTAATGTTTTGATGGTTGAACAAAAGTTAAACAATTTTCTGTGCTATGAACTGTACCGGTCAGAGTCAAAGTTTTTAAGTGTGTCCAATCGCAAACAAATTAGGACATGTGGCTAGTCTAGTGGTTAGTGTCTTGGACTTTGGTGTGAGAAAAACAGGTTACACCCCTGGCATATCCATAAAATTTAAGGGATTTGGACAGCTTTCTCTTAAAAGCATTTAACGTTCTCAAATAACTAAGTCCATCCCCACTCAACCAATCAATCAGATCTTATTTTCTGATATTGAAAGACTTGGATGTCGCAGGTTTGGAGTGCCACTGGGCTCTTCGCCTGAGCTGGAAGACACACTTTGGGTGGGACTAACAGACACGTACTGCAAGCTACCGATGGCTCTTACGGCTGAGAAATTGGCCGCACAGTTCAACATCACACGGGCGGAAGTGGACGAGTATGCACTTCGATCCCAGACGTTGTGGAAGAAAGGTAAGATGTGTATCAATCATGTTTTGGAGGGACGATTTGGTCTCCAGTATATCCACAAAAATGTTTAGGTTTTTGGACAATTTTCTGTGAAAAGCATTTTAGATTACATAACACAAAAAGCAACTGGCATACACACTAAATATGCATGAATATATTTTATAACTTTTCTCTACGATTCCAAGATTTAATTTATTCCTTTTGTGCCACTAGCCCACGACGCCGGGGTGTTCAAGTCTGAGTTGGCTCCGGTCACGGTAGTGCAGAAGAAGAAGGAGGTGGTTGTAGACATGGACGAACACCCCAAGCCGCAGACGACACTAGAGGTGCTCAACAAACTGCCGCTGGTCTTCAAGAAAGATGGAGTGGTGACTGCCGGAACTGCTTCTGTAAGTTTACTTTCTTACTGAAATGATTTCGTAATTTGTTTTTAAGCTTCTTGACAGTTCCACCTTTAATTGCCTGTACAAATTGTGATTTTTAATCTAATTACCATCTAATCTGTCTGGACTTGGGGTTGTTTGATAAAATTTTCAAAAGCTAAATAAAGGTGATCTTAATATTTTCAAGCTTTGTTAGTAGTTTTAGTATAAAAATTTAATTGGATGCCATTTTCAAACAAAAAATATATTTTTAATGATGATTTTTTTAATAGCTTATTGCTACTTTACATCGTATAGGTTACTGAATTTTATAAAGATATCTTTACAAGTTAAAGGTTTAAATAAAAAATTACCAAACGACAGATATCTTGGAGCATACAACAGGGTGTTTTTTGGAAAAAATGTTACTATACTCTACATACATCCTATGTATTCACTAATTTACATTGTTTTCCTCCCATTACTCTAGACTTCCACTCAGTAATGTCCCAGTGTTCCTAATCATCTTGTTTACTGTACAGATTAAGTCTCTGCTTATTTAGCCCAAGGTCAAAGGTTTGTTGTGTGATAGACAACAATTACAATGTACTTCTTGGTTATTTTACTTTCTTTTGTGTGTTTCATTGAATAACCTTGATCTTGACATAATTGTTTTAGAAAACCTGCAATATAATATATTTTGCTTGAAAGCTGTTTTCTCTGAAGTATAACTCAGGTTTTATCATTATTTTATCTTTAATGAGAAATCTTAGATTAAAATAAGCTTAAGTGCCTTAAACAGAACATCTTGAGCATTCATGGGATTCTTGATAATAGGTGCCCAGCTATGTAAATAATACCCCCGCCGCAGCAAACCTGCAGACTAAGCGAATTTCAACTTGTCTGATTACATTTTTACTAAATTATTTCCATAAATAAGACATATTTATTTCCTATTTAAATAACATTAGATTTAATGAGTGCTTAGGTTTGCTGCTACGGGGAAGGTAAAAAGTAATTTTTGACCATACGTCAATAATATAGGATGAAATAAATAGATTTGCCAAATTTTATCAATAACTTATACAGGGTGTTTCACGAGAGGTGTCTCAAATTGATTACGGAAAAACGGCTTAACGTACAAGAATGAAATAAAATTATTTTCCGCTAAATCGACCCCAAGGAATAACGTAAAAATATTTTTAACTTTTTCCAAATACAGGGTGTGCCAAAAACTGAGTGTCACTAGTTCAAATCTTGGAATTTTCAAATTTAAACATATGTCATGTTATACACCGTTTTAAAGGTATTTAATAGACAAACATTTTGGCGAAAACTTAAACTTAATTAAATTTCTTTTTCCGTTTCAAAATGGCGGCAGTTAAAAAAAAAAAAAAAATCTATATTTCTTTAGTACTTTGTGTTTCCTATACCAAAGCATTTATTGCTTCTCCGGTTAGATTTTCTTACTCGTTATGAAATTAGCTTTACTTTGATAAGCTACAAGCAACGGTTATTTAAAATGATAAAAATTCCCAAAAAAAAATATTATTGAAAATTAGCGAATGCTCATTGTTCAAAATTTTTAAATAGCAACATATGTCAAGTGGCACATCATTTTATAGGTTTTTTAATTCCTAACAACTTTGTAATTTACACTTACTTCGTATCTCTTTTAGTTTTTGCGTAAATAACAAAAAACCTAATTTTCCTATATCAAATGCATGTTATTTGGGTTTAACACTAAAGGCCCAATTTGATGGAGTGTTAAGTCACGCCAAACCCAAATAACATGCATTTGATATAGGAAAATTAGGTTTTTTGTAATTTATGCAAAAACTAAAAGAGATACAAAGTAAGTGTAAATTACAAAGTTGTTAGGAATTAAAAAACCTATAAAATGATGTGCCACTAGACATATGTTGCTATTTGAATTTTTTTTAAATAAGCATTTGCAAATTTTCAAAAAATAATTTTTTTTGAATTTTTATAATTTTAAACAACCGTTACTTGTAGCATATCAAAGTAAAGCTAATTTCATAACGAGTAGGAAAATTCAACCGGAGAAGGGATAAATGCATTGGTATAGGAAACACAGAGTATTAAAGAAATATAGATTTTTTCCAAAAAAACTTGCTGCCATTTTGAAACGGAAAAAGATAACTAATTTCTGTTTTCGCCAAAATGTTTGTCTATCAAATACCTTTAAAATGATGTATAACATGACATATGTTTACATTTGAAAACTCCGAGATTCGAACAGTTTTTGGCACACCCTGTATTGGGAAAAAGTTAAAAATATTTTTACGTTATTCCTTGAGGTTGATTTAGCGAGAAATAATTTTATTTCATCCTTTTACGTTAAGCCGTTTTTCCGTAATCAATTTGAGACACCTCTCGTGAGACACCCTATATATCCATGAACAAGTAAACCACAACAGTTTTCATTTTCTCCATAAGAATAACATAGGAATTTTTAATTACACTATTTTTGAATTTTCTCCGTGACCGTTAGGCATACAACAGCGCTTCAATATACTAAATTATTTATTTTTTAAGCTCTATAAAACGGTTTAGAAAGAAATTGCAAATTTTTTTGTTTTTATGGTCAAAAATGGGAAAAACACATTTTTACCCCCTAAAACCCCACATAAACCCCCGTTCCCATGGTCCAATTATGCTGGTTCGGGAACTCGTTAATAATAAACGAATAAACATAGATTTACACGTTTGTACCAAATTTTATTAAAATCAGATCATTTTTGTTCGAGTTAACGCGCTAATGGACACACATATATATAAATACTAGCAGAGTACCAGTCCTTCGTACGGGGTTGGCATATAATAGTCCAGTCAAGGAATGAGGTGTAGAGTGCGTGAGCAGGTAACTAAGCGATTCCTTCAGAAACTTGTTCAGGGGGCTTAGGGTGTTAACATACCAAAAGTCCTGACTCCTAGGTGGTGAGCCAGGGGGTGGAGGGGGGAAAAAGGGGGGGGAGAAAGGTACGCATTTTGGGTTTTTTGATTATATCTCGAAAACTATCAACTTTTTGTATACTATAGTAAATTATAAAATTGAAGAAGATTAAATTTTCTACAAGAAAAGTATATAATGTGTTTATTTTGGTTCAACAGATTACGAGTTATAACTTATTTAATTGATATCTTATTAAAATACTCCTTCCATAAGAAATACATGTAAATTAGTATGCGAAATGGGGCGAATCCTATCCGCCCAAAGGAAATATAAATGATATTCTGGAAATCTTGACAAAATTTCCAGTAATTTGACACTTTAATCATTAAAATTGATCCAAAATTAAGGCGAGGGTGAGGTAACAAAATGTCGAGTTTTGGTGTTTTTTTATTGGAAATATAAAAAAAACCTTAAATCATCCCATTTTTAAACGCTCACCCTCGCTTTAATTTTTGACAAAATTTCATGATTTAAGTGTCAAATTACTGGAAATTTGGTCAATATTTCCAGAATATCAGTTATATTTCCTTTGGGCGGATAGGATTCGCCCCATTTCGCATACTAATTTACATGTATTTCTTATGGAAGGAGTATTTTAATAAGATATCAATTAAATAAGTTATAACTCGTAATCTGTTGAACCAAAATAAACACATTATATACTTTTCTTGTAGAAAATTTAATATTCTTCAATTTTATAATTTACTATAGTATACAAAAAGTTGATAGTTTTCGAGATATAATCAAAAAACCCAAAATGCGTACCTTTCTCCCCCCCCTTTTTCCCCCCTCCACCCCCTGGCTCACCACCTAGGAGTCAGGACTTTTGGTATGTTAACACCCTAAGCCCCCTGAACAAGTTTCTGAAGGAATCGCTTAGTTACCTGCTCACGCACTCTACACCTACTTTTGGATCATTCATTGACTGGACTATAAGTTTAAAATGCTTATTGCAGTTATACCCAAGCTTTGCGTTTGCAATGGGGGAGGACAAAGTTTGATCAAATTTGCTTCTTTAAATTGACGGTATATTTTTGGTATTACACATCTACCAAAGCCATAATGTTCTACCACTTCCCCTAAACATCAAAGACAAATAATAAATTATTAAAAATTCACAAAAAAAATCACAAACTATTAATTCATGACATTAAAAACATAAACATAACTGTAAACAATCCTACTTTGACAGTTCTCATTGCGTATCACAGTTTTTTGTTGCTGCTTAGTTCAAATTAGCTGTTTAGATAAATGCAAAAAAAATATACTGCTGCCCTGTTGGTAATTCTTATAACTTTTTAATGCTTTAGTATATCATAGAACCAACTTTTTTAGTTGAAACAGCTGACTATAGTATATTTCTTACCTAGGGCCGAAAATGAGGTTTTGCCGGCTCGAGATAGTTTTTAAGTTCGAGACGAAGTCGAGAACTTAAATCGATCGAGAGCTGCAAAACCATTTCGGTCCGTGGTACAAACGCTATTTTTCACCATACTATACCCTATTCAATCAATCAATCAATCAAATATTCTTTATTCACAAAGTTTAGACAATATGTCTTGAATAGCGTCATTAAACTAACATAAACAAAAAATTATAAACTAAACTAGCTGTTGTACCCGTGCTTTGCAACGGGAAGAGGGCACAGAATAGAAACAAAAAATCTTTAACCCTCCCAGTGTTACTTGACGAAAATTCGACAAGCAGCACACTTTGTGTAGTGTTACTTGTCGATTTTTCGACACGCAGACATCGTTTACGGCGAAGGCTCTATGACTGACTGAATCGGATTGAACTGGATCGAGTTGGGTATCGTTCTTTCCGTAATATTCTAAGCTTTCTCCAGAGGTCTGTCTCTAAGCGCTATTCATTTTAGTTCCGAAAATATTGTAGCAGACAGCTGACGTGCGTGTATTTGTAAACAGCTAGGTTCCCCCGGACCGACGACTGATGTGTTTTATTACGTTTATCATTGTTTTAGTGTTAAAAATCAAAAGTAGTGATATACGTGGTGCATTATAAGAAGATTTAAGTGGTTTTGAAGTGCTGT